TGTCCAGCTTTCGAATGCATATGAGGTTATTGAAAATACCATGGCTTGGGTCAGGCGCATCTTAAGTCTTCAAGCTGACATCTTTGCTCTTCAACACTTTAAAAAGGTCTTGTGCAATAATGTTTAAAATGAATAAAGATACAATTTGTATGACAATAAGAGGACTAAAGAGAAAATGAAACAATGTAGAGACAAAGCCTCATATACTAGTGAAATTACGTTGCTATTAATCCAAACTAGATTGCTATAAATTGCTAGCTATAATCCTTAAGGAAATAACTCAAATATACATACAAAAAGCAATGATAAAGGAATTAATATGATACACTAGAAAATAAATGTTTAATACAAAAGGAGGTAGTAACAGAGAGCATGAGGAAAAACCATAAAAAGGCATAAACCATATTGTTGTCGTGGTGTGTGTGTGTGGTGTTTATGTGCCATACAGTCAGTTCTGACTCACAGCGACCCTGTACAGGGTTTCCGAGGCTTAAATCTTATTGGAGCCGAATGCCTCATCTTTCTCCTGCAAAATAATTGCAGAACAACTGCTGATGGGGTACAATTTAAAATGAGAGGTACAGCTTCAAACAACCATTAATAACCAGAACATGAAATGTACTAAGTATGAGTCTAGAAAACTTGGAAGCTGGTGAAAATAAAATGGAACACATAAAGATCTTTATCATAGGCATTAGTGAGCTGAAATGGACTTGTATTGGTCATTTTGAATTCAACAATCATCAAGTTTACTATGCCAAATAATGACAAATTTTAGAGGAATCGGATGACATTCAACATCAGAAAGAGTATTTCAAGATTTGTTTTGAAGTAGAAGGCTGTAATAGGGTAATATTGATACACCTACAGGATCAGTTAACACTACTATTCAAATGTATGTACCAACTACTAAAGTCAGTGATGATGAAATGGAAGAATTCTACCAACCTCTTCAGTCTGATACTGATCAAGCATGCATCAGTATTGATAATTACTGATAATAGGAATGCAAAGGTTGGAAACAA